TAACTTTACTACTGGTAAGTTCACTAAAACGTATTTTTCACACCGGTGGTCCATGTTAGATCGTTACAATACTATTTGGGATAAACATAATTTTACATTATTGGAGGATTTTGAAAGTCAATATAGTTTTGCCATGTTGAGGAAAGTAATAAAACAGTCATTTAAAGCTATTGATTTTCAAGTAATAGCTTCATTTAATCGTTTTTCTGAATGGCAATGTTTATTTTTAACATAATGTTATTATTAAATTTAAATTTATCTTAATTGTATCAAAATTTTAAATCGTTTTTCAAATAGGATAAACGATTTATACGGTTTGTAAATTCCGATTTACCTTTTTCAATACAGTTTTTTCTTATCATAATGATGTAATCATTTTTATTTTGTGACCTTACGTGTTAAATTGTGCCTTCTTAGTTGTTGTGAAAATTTATCATAGTTTACCCAAAACCCTAACAGTCTTATCATAATGTTATCAAAACAATAAATGAAGTCAAATAAATAAAGTGCTACGATTTTATCTGGTTCTCATTTCTAATAAATATTTATTCATGAAATTATCCTCGATCAAAAATTTAAGAAAAACGCAAATCGGAACATAGCGTGTGATTATAATTTGGATACTTTATCAAAAACTAAAGTATACATATTTTTTGGGGTAATCAATCCGTGTGTACGGGTTTGTTGTGTTTTTTGAGGTTTGATTTTGTAGTAAATTACTTAAAACATACGGCACATTTATTGGGGTTTCGCCCAGTGTGCACCTTAATAAATTTGAGTCATCTGGATAAATAGATAGAATTATAGATAACAATACAATTAGAAAATATAAGAAGAACTTGGAGACGTATCTCTATTTTCCAGCAAATTCATTAATTCGTTCAGGTTTTTTACTTGCGCTCTCTATTTACTTAATTTTTTTTTTTGTATTACTTATTATTTTGAATTATTAAACAGTACTTTTAATAATAATAAATACTATGTAATGTACAGAACAAGAAGAACTTTTTCATCTCTTTATTTTAACGAAAAATCAAGTGATAACTTACATTAAATTAAACTTTGCCTTACTGGGTTAATGCGTGTGCACTATGTAATCCAGTTGTGTGCTGGATCACATAACTATACATAATATTGCTGAGAAGCGAGTAATGAATGTTATGGTAGAAAAGTGTACTAGGTGCTATCAGTGTATCGATTATTCGTTTGTAGTGACAGTGCGACATTTTATTATTACTTTATATTTAGGTATTTAGTTACAATATTTATATAAAAAATAATTACTTGTACATATATATTCCCGTCAAATGTTTTTAAAAGATCGTTCTGTTCTGTCACGCAACTATTATATGATTTTTCAATGTTTTTTCAAAACATTTCATTAATGTATAACTTATACCGATTATATATATATTAATTTTACTTAGCCCTGGCAAACTAAATCCCGGGCAACGTCAGGTGACGAAAGCTGGTAATAAATAAATAAAAGGAGTTATCAAATAATTGTATAAATATATTATATATTAAACAAATTACAATAGTCATTATATAAAATTATTATTAACATGTAGTTTTGTTTAATCATTACAAATACTAGTGTCTAGTAGCTTCCGATATTTAACGTGCACTGATTAAACACAATAACCAACAATATAATTAAAAATACATTTTGCTCCAGAAGTATATAAACACGTTTCAATAAACATTGATTGAAATAAGTAACGCACATATACACATTTTTATGTTAGTAATAAAATAAAAAATATATTACTATATAGTTTTAAGTTAAAATTTATAAACTTCGATTATTGAGAAAATAAACTTGAGTAAACATATTTTTGAGGGTAATCAATCAGAGTGTACGCGTTTGTTGTGTTTTGTAAGGTATGATTTATCAGTAAACGACTTAAAACATACAGCACATTTATAGGGTTTTTCGCCAGCGTGTACTCGTCCATGTATTGAGAGGTAGCTTTTACGTGAAAATGATTTTAAGCAAATAGCACACTTATAAGGTTTTTCCCTGGTGTGCACGCGCTCGTGATCTCTTAGGCCAGATTTTTTAGAAAATGGCTTAGAACACACCTCACACTTGTAGGGCTTCTCACCAGAGTGTGCCCTATAACAAAACAAAACGGTAAATTAAAAAAAAAAACGTTTAAAAAAGTATTATTCTTTTCACATTTGTATATTACTGCTTAATTTTTTATTTTGAGAGATTGAGAGATGTAAATTTGTTGGTTTTACAAAAAATCCAACTGAATTAAATTTTGAATCATCTAGATAAATTGATAGATACAATTACGAAACTCTATATTCAAGCAAATTCAATAATTCCTATAAAAATTTGAATATCTCTCGGTGTAATAGAGTTCAGAAGCCCAAGTACCTAGGTACACTTTTAACTCAGAATAATTAAATACAAGAGGAGATAAACACAAGAATACAGGCAGGCAATAGATGCTATTTTGGATTGGATTTGGATTGGAAGCTGTTCAAGTCAAAAGATTGTTGTCTAAGAGTCTAAAGGTACAACTGTATAGAACTTTTGTAGGAATACAGGAGAATGGAGAATTAGACATAATGTGAAGATCAGGAAGCCATATCAGAAACCAAACATAGTCGACGATATAACAAAGAGGCGGCTCTTTTGGGCTGGCCACGCATGGGGGAAAAAAAGCGCCCTAATACACAGGGTACTATGTGGCTCTCCAAAAGGCGTAAGACCACTTGGTAGACCAAGGTTGAGGTGGGAAGACCAGGTGTCAAAAGATGTGGAGCGGGTTGAACCGGATGCTGATTGGCAAGTCCTAGCGCAGGATAGAGAGAGATGGCATGGCATGTTTTTGTCAGTTTGGACTTAAAGGCCGTCAACTACGAAGAAGAAGAAGAAAAAATTTGAATATCTCTCAGGTGTTAACTCGCAACTCTACTTTTTTTTTAAATTTAATATACCAGTGATAATTTATTATGTTATATGTATTGCCTTACAAAATATTTATATTGAAGACCTGTTTTGTAGATCTTTCCTGGGTCGATGAATATGCACTATGTGATAGAGGTATGCGTTGGGCGGTCGTTTGCAAATCCAAAAGCCCATTTTCTTCAACTTCAATCAAGGATTCGTAATAATGTCCATCTACCAAATCAACTTCGACTTTAACCAACGTTGTATTGCACACTTCTCTGTTACTAAAAACGATTTAGTTAAAATATCAAAATTTAAATAGATAATATCAGCAGCGAGTAATGCATGTTACGAATGATGTACTACACGCTATCAGTGAAACGGTTCTTTGTTTGTGGTGACTGTGCGATATTTTATTATCACAATATTAAATTTAATATTACAATATTTATTTTAAAAAGAATTACTTATAAATATTCCCGTCAAATGATTTTAGAAGTTCGTTCTGTGCTGTGACGCAACTATTATTGGATTTTTCAATGTTGGTCGATTTTGTTTCTTTTGTAACGGTTTCAGTTATTTCATTGTTCCCCTCGTCGACTTTATCAATTTTGAACACTGTATCGTAGTTATCATACGTTTCCACTTCAATTTTGATTTTTGATTCAGAATACCTGAATAATTATAAAATAATTTAAAAAATTACAATAACTAAAAAAGAAGACATAATAAAACAGTAAGTTTATAGTTGATGTTGTTTTTAAAATTACTTTTTAGTGAAGTTTGTTTCCGATAAATTAAAATATTTATAATATTTTCAACATTGTATTAGATAAGCAACTCGGGGAGATACGCTTGTAATACTCATAAAACCTGTATGGTTAGTTATCGTACTAGGCTCCAAAAACGAACAAGTTTAAATAAGCTAAAAACGAGTAATAATTTAAAAGGAAAAGCCTCATCCAAAATAGCAGTTTAGCAAAACAGCTTAACAACTTTAGATGTTTGTTTAGTATTAAAAAAATTGCATGGAGTTCAAACTGATGTTTTGGCAAAGTTAATTATACTCTAATGTTTATATTACATTAGATATTATTTATAAAATATATTACTCGTATTCATTCGCGTCGATTGTATTTTGTTGCTCTTGCCCTTGTTTGTTTTCTTTTTCTAATTCAAAAATAGACTTATAATGATAATCGCCCGTTTCTCCAACTTCAATTTTAATACCTCCTGCTTCATTAAGTCTAAAAAATAGAGTACATTTTTTTAATTAGTATCGATTCTTCTATGTTTAACTTTAATATAATAAATAACTATAGACATAGACTGTAGAAGTTTGGGAAATTATATAGGTGTATAAAACAATAATTATCACTAAATGTAAATTTAACTGCTCATGTTATGGAAAAGTATACAATTATTTGAATATGAACCAGACTATCCTAAGATAAATTGTTTTTATATAACCATCTATACTCCTAGGATGTTGCTGGCATAGAATGTCTGCCCTCATTTGAATTAGGTTATTTATTATAAGACATAATAAAACAGTTAGTTTATGTCGTTTGTTATAGCCATAAATGTACTTTTAGTGAAAGTGGTTTAGAATGTATTAAAATATTTATGATGTGTTCAACAATATAATTTAATTAGATAAGCAACGCGAGCAGATACGCTTGTAATATTCATAAAACCTGTACGGTCAGTTATCGCACTAGTCTCTCCGGGCAGTGATGAATTTGTATTGTTGCTCGCCACAATTTTTCCTATTCTTTTTAAATATTTAAAGCCAATATTGAAGTATTTAACACAAATAAGACTATATCTAATAGTTTAAAATATAGACTAAATTGCATTGCTTTTATTTTATTTAAATACGTAAATGAACCCACTCATGAATACTATCAAGCAGAAACTTATGAAAAAATTCAGCAGATTGATCAGTCGATTTTGAGTTAAAGACACTACTTCAGTCAGTATTCTCTAACTTATGAATAATCCTCTCATAGTTAGCATTATCAAAGTCATAATACGTATACTGGGCGTCAAGCATAGGGATGACTGAAAGATAGGATAAAAATTACATTACTTGTATGCATACTCGTCAATTGTTTTTTGATAACCATTATGGTTTGTCGGAGAATTGTTGCGTGTATCATTAATGTGATTCAGCTCAGGTATTTTCACTAAGACTTCGTTGAAATACTGTTTTACGTCCTCGTCTTCCTCTATATTAATCATGGTCCCGTTATAATCGTCCATTTTAGTACTGGTTTTTGGTATTTCTGATTCTCACTAGTTTAACTAAAAAACAAAGTGTATTTAAAAAATTAGGACAAGATATAACAATTTTTTTTATTAAAAAAGATGAGCGCCTGTGTCTAAACAAATTTAAATAAAACACCAGTGCAGACACACATTTTTGCAAAATAAAGCCAAATAAGAGCCTAGAGGTTTTTCAAGAAAATCAAAACATTGATTCGATGATTAAAATTTTAGTCGATTGAGTAACATCTTACTAATAAAAAAAAAATCCACTTTTAAAAAATGTAATACTACACAATATGAATTTTCTTTCTCCATAAAATATAAATTAGTTACCACTTTCTCTAAATACATATAAATATTTTTTCTTTTATGGCAGATTATAATAGTTAGAAAAATATATAATTTTTAGCATAAAAAATAATGACTATCAACTTAATAATAGCAATAAATTAAAAATAATGCTTAAATAGATATTAACAACTTTAACCAAACCATTACTACTAATATTATTGATAAATATTTTAGATAGCCAACCGATAGACAAATTTTAGTTTTATACACTAATACAGGGCGGGCGCTAATAGTATCGTTTTCATTGAAAATAATACTAATAGCCCATTCTGTATTGTAGTTCAGAACTAAAATTTGTCTTAGTTTTCTATCATCTAGTAAGATAGTATTAATAATAAGATGGTATTATAACGGTTTGAAATTAAAACTCATTCAAGTCACGTAAACACATTAAAACAATTTTTATACATTAAACCGTTATCAAAATTAAAACACACACAATGTAGTTTAAGAAATTAATATGGTTTTAAACGTAAAAAATGATTTATAAAATGAACATATAAACGTAACTTGTAATTTTTATAATCAATGCACTGTGATAAATGTTCTTTTTTTTGCCATAACAAAGTTTTGATTGCTTTGTAATAATATATTAATCAGAGAAATTTACCTAATTTAATTGGTAAAGTAAAAACATTACAGATATTAATAAAGAGGAACTCTAGAACAATTTGAACAGTACAAATAATAATAAAATATTATTCATACTACAAGTAAATTCACAATGAACAAACCACAGTCTACACCTATACGTGACTTCTTATCAATTATCGTTTCTACAGCCAATGATGGCAAATCTCACTCCACAAGTCAAATTACTCGACAAACAAATGTATGAAACACATTGAAATTGTTTAAAATTCATTACCCAACCGGTAAACTACAGAATCGAATAAATTGTTAAAAATCAATAAATAAAACCATAATGTTACTCGGTACTTACTAATACACAGCAATGCGATGAGATTTTTTGTCAAGGCTCTGATCCCTAACAACGTCAAACGACAGGTATAAAACCACGCACTGAATCTTTTTTTTATTATAATATGTTCACATACAACTATTTTAGACCGTTTCAAACAAAAAAATTCACTTTGAGTAAGTCAGAGACGGTAAATACATTATGTTACAGACGCTACCGCACACTTGATAATAATGTGTGTGTGTTAGTGTGAATATGTGATAACAATGGCAACCGCGATGGCTGGCTGGAGGTAGAATACTGTGAAGATAAATATTAAAAAGCGCGGGCTTATCAACATATTCAATTATATTATCAACACTACAGCGAAAATATGATCGATTATTAAAAACTAGTACGGTTTTTTTTGTTTTTCAAATTTCAATTGTGAAGAAGTAAACATTTTTTTAACTTTTACCCCCCCCCCCCCTCTAAAGTATAAACTAGATGAAATTCGTGATTTATAGATTTGTTGCTACTTAAAGGAATTGATTCAGTATTAAAAAAGTTACAGTGTACACACACACACATCAAGTAATTTATATCATATTAGGATTATTATGTTATGTGTGTATTACTACTATGATTATTATATAAATAATAGTATTATTATTATATTTAATTTTATTGGAATAAATAATATATATATTCACAGCGAACATCTAAGCGCATATATATATATGCGCTTGCGCGTACATGTTGCAGAAATGGATAACGAGTCTTCGACGCCACGGGGGCCATTAAAAGAACTCCAGTCGAAGTCTCGTTATCCATTTCTGCAACATGTACGCGCAAGCGCATATATATATATATATAACACATCATGTAATTTATGAATTCACGCCGTTGGCAATTCGTGCCACGTCCACGAGGAATGGAGGCTCACAGACGTGTCTGAAATTTGTGCGTCGAGGTCGACGGCCGCATGGTCAGTGCACAAAGTAAAAAAAAATATTATCATTATTAGTTTATCTAACATACGTCCACGATACCGTAGTTATATTATATTATGGGTAAGTGCAATAGTCAGTTAGCAGAAAAAAAATTAAATAACTAATTGCCGTTGACTATTGTACTCTACAGATAATGACGGACCGGTCGACGACACGCACACACACACACACACACATCAAGTAATTTATATCATATTAGGATTATTATGTTATGTGTGTATTACTACAATGATTATTATATAAATAATAGTATTATTATTATATTTAATTTTATTGGAATAAATAATATATATATTCACAACGAACATCTAAGCGCATATATATACAGGGTGATCCAACTAACGTAAGACACTCATTTTCTCGGAAAATATGAATTTTTTGAAAAAACATTTTTTCCTATTCTTTTAGGTATAAGTTTTTCTACATTTTTCAATGCTTCGAAAATTTTTATTTTCATCCCTTATACGATAAAAAGGGTCTAAGTTCACGTTTTCAAATGGCAACATATGTTTTTAATTCCATAAATTTGTAGGCAAAAAATTTAAAAATATGTTATCGTTTGAATTATTAATTTTTATCCATCTAGTCGTTAGCTATGACTTTGTAAATATATTACATTTTCTCTTAAATATTGTTATATTTCTTTGGTATTCCAAAGACCGGGAGCCAATAAAATACTTATTTATGATCGCATTGTCCGATAGATGAGTACACAGATAACCAAACACAATACAATGTTTTGTGATATTTTGTTTGACCAGCGATTCATATTTATAGATTACCGACTTTTCTAACACACCGTCATGACAGGTAGGTTGACAGACCTATATTAACAGCGGCTAACGAATGGCTATTTAACCACAACAATCAAAAACCGCGGTACAAGTAGGTTGATAACTGCTACTATGATGATAATACAAAATATTATTATCATTAGTTATCATATTTTTCTACTATCTATGTTCTACATTCAACAAGTAACAGCACAGTACAACAGATTATTATTATGCTATTATGAAAATTATAATTTTTATAGTTTTTATAGGTAGTAAACAATAGCTTTAAAATTTGGCTTACAATCTCATAAGTGCATACATTGAATGGACAAGCGTCGCGAAGCGTTACTATTGTTTGTTTAGTTATGTTCAATTTATTCAAAATATGTTCTGTGCTCAAATAATTGTTTTAAGCAATATACAATAAATAAGGAATTTTCGATTTAATTTGCTTACTATTTTAATTCTACAGTAAATATTTAAAATGTTGCTTATTTTACATTTATAACTAACTTTTTTTTATTATATAAACAACTTTATTAATAAAAAATAATGCAATAAAGTGGACTGTGTTTAAATGATTAAGTTGTCTAAAGACTAGATGTTTGTAAACAGTGTTTTAGGAACCTACAACAAAATCACAGTTAAGTTTGAAATTGTATTAATTATCGACTTAATTTAAGCCGGTAGTTCCAAACTATGATTCAAAGTACTTATACTTTTTTTTCTGTTTTCTCCATCCTGTTGGCAAAAATGATTTGATTTTTCTGTAACGGTAAATTTTTCAACATCATTGATATTTCATTTTTTTTAAGTCAAGTTATTTCTTATTAAGATCCCGTTAATAAAAATATGGATCAATAGTTTGTGACTCAATTACACAAAATCACACAGTGATACTCAAACTTCAGAAATAAAGTTAGGGTTTGTGTCACCCAATCATTAAATTATCAGAACTTGTCTTTTTTATTTTATTAATAACTATTAAATTAAATAGTTTATATGTTTCTAATCTTTTTATAAGTACTTACTAATTATTATTAAAACTTATAAGGTGTACAATGTTATAATAATAGTGATTCTAAAGCCTTTATAATAAAATATGTCTGTTTCAAAAATTTCAAATTGAAAAGTTAATTCTTTTACAGTTGAATCTGCTTATTTTGATTTTATGTATAATCAGTATTTTCTTATTTTTATTATTTTCTTCACTATTTAATATCTAGAAAATTAAAAGCTTAATAGATTTTAGTTGTTTAAAAAGAAAACCATTATCTGATATTTCCTTGTTTACTATACAAATTAAAGTATTGACATTATTAAACTATTATAACGGGTACGTTTTACTAAGATTATGTAAAAGTGGCAATATTAAATCAAAAATAGCCTTAGCTAAATTGTAGTATCTAAATTTAACAATTATTCTGTAATAAAACACATTTTTAAGGATTTCAATTTTATGGAATTTGTATGCGACAAGTTTGTCTGATTTTATACACATACATACATGTATACTATATTTATGTATAAATACAAATAATTATAAAATCAATTATACTAACTTATAATGCATAGTTGTTAAAAATAAAATTTGTTTACCTTTAATGATGCAAATAATGGTTAAAAGAATATTTGCTGTAATGCGTATGCGACAATTTTCCTACTTTAAAGAGTTAAAAAACAATTTTTATTAATTTTTACTGTGTATTTTACAAAATTTGAACATTGACAACACATAGTCAAACAATTGTGTTGATAAATTTCAACGACAAACATATAGTATAGTATAACATTTAAAGAACAATAATAATCTTTTGTCTGATAATATAAGTATTTAACTAATAAAATATTCATAAACTATTTATTAATACAACAATAAATTTAAAAATTACAAATGTTACTAATTTGAAAATATTCAATCAAAAATATTAAACAAAAACAATATCTATACATTTGAAATTGTTCAACTTCTATAATACTGATTTAAATTTTTTTCTTTTAACAATCGTTGGTAATTAAACAAATCTAACAAAATCAAAATTCAATAAATAAAATTAACTATAAGAATTATCTTAGGCAAGTTCAAAAAAATAATTTACTTGATTTACTGAATTCATTAAATACAAATTAACAGAATTACTACTTTTTTAAAGAGAGAATTATTGTATATTAATTAATTTGATATAAAATTTAACTTTGATAGCCAAATACCTGTGTCAGTTATAGCTAAAACTTTATGATAAAATATCCGTAATGTATGTCAGACACACAATATATGGGTTATATCATTGTAAGAAATAACTAAACTGAAAGCAGACATTTGAACTACCTTAGATAAGTTTAATCAAATAAAAATAATATACTTACATATTATTATAAATAATGGTATAATCAAGAAGTGATTCCTTGTATGTAGTAGTATGAAATTCATACATTAATTACTGATATTTTTAAAAATAAATGAAACAGGTATATGAGTATTATCAACCCACATACACAAATACATGCATTAATAATTATTTTAAGTTAACACAACACACTTTTCATTCAAATTGCTTAGTGTTGATATTATACATTCACATGAAAAAATGTCACATTAGAAATAAATGTTTTATACTTATAATTTACACCTTGATATATAAATGTAAGGTCTTGGGTCCGATTGGAAAGACATTTCCATAGCAATTGATATGTCATACTCAAATCCAATTTTACATGATAACATTGGTTTTTAAAAGATGAAATATTTTCAGTAAAAAAGCATTCAACCTAAATTAAAAAAGCTAATTGAAATCGTATTGTATTAAATTACCCATTAAACTCTAATAAACTTACCTATTAAATTAATGCTTTATATTTATAATTTACACCTTAATATAAAATTGTAAGGTCTTCAGTCTTGGGTCCAATTGAAAAGACATTTCCATAGTAATTGGTATAGCCTATTCTCAACGCCATAGATATTTCTGACATGATAACATTGATTTTTAAATGATAAAAGATTTTCGGAAAAAAGCATTCAACCTAAAATAAAAAAGCTAATTGAATTCGTATTGTATTAAATTATCTATTAAACTTTAATACACTTACCTATTAAATTAATGGTGTGTCCAAGAATGTAACGTCAAAATAAAGTCGAGAGCAAATATTATCAATTAATATATTTAAAAAATTATAAAATAACGAGTTATGACCTAACTACAATAAGCATGCTATCATATTTACTATAAAGTAAAATGTAAATTTACTAACATTTTTTAATTAAGTTTGCAATTTCTCATTTCACTAATGGAAAACGTGTGAACTTCGAAGTCGAAATTTGTTAGCGATGAGGTTATGTACAAATAATAAATATAATGCGATTTTGTACAAATAATAAAATATATTATGGGTACTGGTCACTCGATTATTCCGTGGTAACTGATACATAGTTT